TTATATTATGCAAACTATTAGACATATCATTTTTGGATTCAGCTTATTACCGTTCTTTTTCAAACGTTCATAAATGTAAGTATTATTATATTACCTTCCAGCGTTTGTAATTAATATGTAGATGTTTTGAACACTTTTTTCATCTTTTTAATATTATTAATATTACTATTGTTATTATTTCTATTATTCATAACTATGAAATGAGGTACGAATGAATTACTGTATGCAAGGCACGGAGTGGAAGGCCAGAAGGTGAGACCGGCCTGCATGCCATGTTCTTAACCAACTGGGAAAAAAAAGTTCGTTCGTTCGCACCACGCCGGGAATTGAACCTTTCACCTCCTAATGACGACATCGCCTCGCTGTAAGGTAAACCTAGTTGGTCCTGCGTCTAAGTGCACTTGTTCCTGTAGCGAGCACCTGTCGTCAGTTGGAGGTGGCAAGTTCAATTCCCGACATGTTCACTATAGCTTTTGATGTTGTTTATGTTGTCTATTGTGTCTTTCTGTCTTTCTATGAGCGCCGTTCAATGCGTGACTATTCGTTGATTATATATAAAAGAGACAAGCAATGCTTGTCTGGAAGTGGGAATCAACACCAGTGAGCCTCTTGAGCATAAGGTAGACAGCGATATACGTGGGCAGATATCACATGTGTAAAAGATGTTAGTGAGTAGTCTACTCGTAGAATGATTCACACGCATGTATGTGGAATGATGCCAATTCTCCTCATATAATGGCAATAATTCTATTGTTTGTGCAAGATCTAGTTAGTACAACAATGAACCCATAATTAACTCTTGCTGTCCGTGGTAGGTGATACGTTAGCTCATGCTACCTAATAGTATTTTGTTAAGTGAACGTGTCTGGACTGGAGTGGTTAACAGAATAACATCGTTTAAGGGGTCACTACACGTCATTTTTCCCAATTTATGACAAAAATATCACTTTTGCAATGTGTTCGTGTTTGCAAACTTCGGCATTTATAGAATAGATTAAAGGCAAAATTTAGGTCATTTGTAAACAATTTAGCTTGAAAAGGTAACACTAAAGACACCTTTCCATGCACTTTTTTAAGATTAAAAAAAGGTTTAAAAATCAGTTTTCTCACATCTCTATGTCTCTGTTTGTTGTGTGTGTAAAATCCTCAGATCTCAACTATTTTACAGACTTAAAACATGAAATTTAGTGTAGATACTTAGTAAATAATATTATTGAAACCTGTCTATTTAAAAGTAGACTTAAGATAGTTATTTATTTGTTAAATTTAATTATTGTCTTATGATCATACTTTTTTTTACTTTTTAACAAATCCAAATTTAAAAATTTTAAGAAAACTATTTACAAACATTTTCAAAGTAAATAAACTAAATCTGTACTCCTATTTAGGATTATAGTTTATGAATTTATCTTTATTTTTTAAATACCTTTACTTTTTTTTTTTTAATTTTAGGATTCGACGTTCATGTTAGTTTTGTGTCCAAGATGAAGCTGTTGCCATGGCAACTATGATTTTTTTTTAAACTTAAAGTATGCAAATGTGTTAATATATATCGCTACAAATAACCATTATAAAATAATTACCATTGTAAGTAATGAAAAAAAAAATTTTTTTTTGTATTGACCCTTTGAAAAAGACAAAGAAAAAAATGTTGAAAGCAAAAAAGTGGATTGATGTAATGCAAGCAAGTATATATCGCTACAAACGACCATTATAAAATAATTAACATTGTAAATAATGAAAAAAAAAATTGTGTAGTGACCCTTTGAAAAAGACAAAGACAGAAATGTTGAAAGCAAAAAAGTGGATTCATGTAATGCAAGCAAGTGATACAAAGGTTGGAAAACTGTATATGATGTAATAGAGTGGGGTTATGCAAATATAAGTGGGACAAAGTTTTCAGAATTATGTGTGATGCTTAAGAGTGGGTTAACGTAACAACTGGAAGTGGGGCAACGATTTGAGAATTATTTATTTTGGGACGGAGTCCGATAACTCACCTGCTGTAAGTGATTAGAGATTTAGGATTTGTAGATGGTGTGACAGATTCGGATAAAGCAACAGTAGAAACTAGAACACAGATGAAAGAATTTGGAAGTATTACAATGTTTTGGAGAATTGTATATGATATGACAGATTGGGATTATTTAACAGCTGGAAGTGGTAACATGTTTTGAGTGAGTTTTGTAATGGTATGACTAAGGAGGATTATGTAACAACTGAAAGTAGTACGATGTTCTGAGAGTTGCATATGATATATATGACATAATCGGATTATGTAACAACTGGAAGTAGTACAATGTTCTGAGAGTTGCATATGATATGACAGAATCGGATTATGTGACAACTGGAAGTGGGACAATATTTTGAGAGTTGCATATGATTTCACAGAGTGGGATTATTTACCAGCTGGAAGTTCGACAATGTTTTGAGAGTTGCATATGATATCACAGAGTGGGAATATGCAACAGCTGGAAGTTCGACAATGTTTTGAGAGTTGCATATGATATCATAGAGTGGGAGTATGCAACAGCTGGAAGGTTTGAGCGTTGTAAACGATTTGCGATGAACTATTTGGATGTGTAGAAGAAAAAGGTACAAACAATGCCATATACATCCTAAGGCCATTGCCAGAAAGAGCTATAGAAGTAAAGACAGATTTTTACTTATGGTTTACAAACTATACAAAAGCATTTGACTGTGAAACGTAAAGAAGTAATCAAACTGATAGAAAAATTCACATTGATGGAAAAGATCTACTAATAATGAAGAATATGTATTGGCAGCAAAAAGAAGCTATGAGAATTAAAAACTGTTTAAGTACATTTCAAAGCATAAAGAGGGGTGTACGACAAGAAAATGTACTGTCCCCTGATTTTATTTCACTAAACAGTGAATAAATAATGAGATCATTAAATGATATACCCAGAATTGTGGTTGGTGGGCATAATAAAAACAATATGCGTTATGTTGATAATACTGTCTTGATAGCAACAAGTCAGACAGAACTACCGGAAATGATAGACATTGTGGTGGTAGAAAGTGAAAGAATTTGCCTTAGTTTGAAAAATGGAAAGACATAAGTAATGGTGGTATCAGAAAAATTACTTACTCCTAAATGTGTAATAAAAGTCAATGGTGTTATGTTTTATGACAAGTACAGAAATTTAAGAATCTGGGCACATGGATAACATCAGATGGAAGATGCAGTAATGAGATAAGAAATAGAACAGGGCAGGCAAAGAATGCATTTTTTAAAATGTCGAATATCTAATACAATATATCTTTGTCATTAGGGTTAGAAAACAATAATTATGGCTTGCTACATACACCCAGTTTTAACATATGACTGTGAGTCCTGGACAATCGGTAGGCAGGCTAAACAATTTCTGGAAGCCTCATAGATGTGGTTTTAATGAAGAATGCTTAGAATACCCTGGACAGCCAAAAAGAGTAATCAAAAGGTTTTCAAATAGGCGGGAGCCCGAAGACAACTTATCACAGACATCAGAAAGAGAGAGTCATCATTTTTCGGCCATGTTATGAGAAGAGGGAAAGTAGAACACGTGACCACTGAAAAGATCTAAGGAAGGAGGGACAGAGGAAGACAAGATGCTTGACAGTCTTGTTGCATGGTATGAAGCTGCGTCAGCACACGAACTGATACATGCTGCAGGAGATCGCGGATTGTGGAGAGGCATGATCGCCCCCGCCAGTTGGCAAGAAACCTAATGATGATGATGACAGGATATGACAAAGAAAGAATGTGCGTTATGCAGAAGATACAGTTTTGACAGCTAATAACGCAACTGATTTACAACAACTGCTTGATTGTGTGGGGATTGGGAGTGCTAAGAAAGGACTTTCCTAGAATATCAAGAAAACGGAAGTAATGGTTATATCAAAGCAGAAGATAACACTACATTGTTATGTCTTAGTTGAAGGAAACAAGCTTAACCAAGTTATTGAATTCAAATATCTGGGAACAATCATATCGTCAGATGGAAAATGTGTAACATAAATTAAAAGCAGAACAGGTCAAACAAAGGCAGCATTTCAGAAATTGAAAAATATCTTATGCAGTAAGTCGCTCTTATTTAATATCAAAAGGAGAGTGCTAAAATTTTACACGGAGCTGGTTCTATTGTACGGCATCGAATCTTGGAATGTCAGTGAACAAATTAGGGAGAATTTGGATGAAACAGAGATGTGGTTTTGAGACGAATGTTACGAGTACCTTAGATCGCCAGAGTAACTAACAACGAGTGTTTGAAAGAAGCTAATGCAAGTAAATCTCGGGAAGCAACAATAAGAAGGAGACAAACACTGTCTTTTGGCCACATAATGAGAAGAGAAGCATTGGAAATCATCGTGACATAAGCGGGAAGAGAGGTAGAAACAAACCAAGAGAGATGATGCTGCATGAGCTAAAACCATGGCATGGAGGGATATCATCAAGAGAGCTGTTTCAAGTAACCAGAGACCGTGATCTGTAGAGATGCAAGAGCGCCAACTCCAGCTGGTACGGGATATGTTTATGATGGTATGATATGGAAGAGTGGGATTATGTAACAGCTGAAAATGGTAAAATTGTTTGAGTGTTGCATATGATATGGAGTAGTGGGATTATGTGACAGGTGGAAGTGTTACAATGTTTTTAGAGTTGTATATGATATGACAGAGTGGGATTATGAAACAGCTGAAAATGGTACATTGTTTTGAGTGTTGTATATGATATGAAGTAGTGGGATTATGTGACAGGTGGAAGTGTTACAATGTTTTTAGAGTTGTATATGATATGACAGAGTGGGATTATGAAACAGCAGAAAGTGGTACACTATTTTGAGAGTTGTATTTGACACAGTGGGATAATGTAACAACTGGAAGTGGTACAATGTTTTTAGAGCTGTATATGATCTGACAGTGTCGTGTGATCTAACAACTGGAAGTGGAACAAAGAGCCCATCTGATGCATGTTAGGCTGGTTGGTATTGAATGAGCTAATCGGAAATAACATTCTCATACTGGTTGGTTAGATTTCGCGAGGCGGGGAAAGGTTGGGGTGTGAAGAAGCTAGCTTCACGGGAACTTATGATGCTGATTTCGTCATACTGGTGATCGTTGGTCACGCTCCCGGCAGCTGCCCCCTGTGAGCCGAAGTGACTGGGGGACACTAAAGAAGAAACACAAGTTAAACATACAGTTACTGGGACTAAAAAGGCTAAACATAGAATTAGTTACTTTTTTATTATTCCGGACGTGGATTACATCATAGAAACGCTACCAATTGGTCTATATATAACATGGGTCTAGCACCGTGTGTCCGAGAAGTAGCAGGATTTAAAAAAATCCTTAAAATTACTTTCTCAAAATATAGGATTTAGAATTCTCATTATACTTAATGACATCATTGTGTATAAGACTATATGTATCAGATTTGATTGGAAGTATACGAGACAGAAGGCTGTGGATAGACATGACTACCAACGCAACCAAGCATAGATTTAAGTAGAAGAAATTGTCAGGCTAGAGAAAATCTATTAGCTTAACATCCTGCTGGCTGCCATGAGATATGAAGATAAATGATATGGTGTATTTGTGTAGTATTGTCTAATCTATGTATGTGTTGAAGAAGGTTCGTTAGCGGCACAGTTCACCTCTTGTTTGTGTTTGTTAAAGTGTGAAGCTGACTGTTATCTTTACGTTTGGTTTTATATCTTTCTATGCTAGAGAAAGAGGAATAACAGGGTCTAGCAGTCTGTTACAACTGTTTTTTTTTTGTTTTTTTTTATTAGAGGATGTAACTAGACTTTTTTCTTGAAGTGGGCTGCTAGTTCAACCCGGCTAGCTTGAAATGTGTACCCCGAAACTGAGATGGGAAATAAAGGTCGCAGAATCAGTATTGACCTTATGACAATTGGAAACCAATAGAGCTGTGACAGTATAAGTCAGTATTATTTCGCACAGTTGAGTTGAATAGATTAAAGATCCGACATCACAACACTGTAGCATTCCCATAAGCATTCCGTCCCTATCTTCAGCAGCCAACTCGGAGTCCTGCTACCAAGGGTACCAGTAGCAGTCTGATTATATGTCCGTCCTGTTTTTTTCCTAGGAGCGTCAAATATTGGCCACATTCCTTGGTCATTTGTTGCTACATCATCGTCTCCAGGTTTTAATGACTCATCGGCTCCTACAAATTGTACACTTGTTGCCATAAAACTATCTCCAAGACAAATCCTCTAGTGGAACAAGAACAACGAATGTGTTACGTGCTATCTATCATTCTCTAGAAGAGCAACATTGTTTACATGTTGGCACTATCAGTTCACTCCACCCCAAACCTTGTTACCAGATTACTTTTAGCTACATCTGAAGTTTGACCTGTTACTACTAGGCGTGAAATTTGCCTAGAAAAACCGTAACAGCCAAAACCCACTGGGTTTGGTTCCCCAACGTCCTGTCAAGGTTACTCAACTGTAACACCTATAACCAGGAACGTCTGGCTAAGTCTCCAATCTAGCCGCCCAGACACCGTTTAGATGAAACAACAAAAATATGTCAGTTTCATGGCTAGTTGGTTTACAGGACGTTGCAGAACCAACAATAGCTATTTTAGGCTTTTGAGGGTTTTCAAAACAAAGTTACGATCAGTAGTTTGCCATTGCCCCTACATGGTCGGTTCATGGGGCCACTGTTGAACCCTACTCGAAGCTACTGATGATCAGGTTGCTGATATTCGCCGAGCTCGAAAAATATGTGTCTTGCAATTACTTCTACACACCCTATCCTAGAATCACTATCATCATCATCTTTATGGTCATCAACTACTTCACTTTATCATCATCATCATAACGTTAACAATGTCTACAACACACCAGTTGCTATTGACGGTCTGATCAACCTCCTTCCCTACATCTGTCAGATGTAATGGCCTGTATCTGTACATGTTTCGGGAAATTTCCGTCATCACAATTCTATATCTTCGTGTTTCTTGGTCTCTTTCTTCTCCTCATTTCTACCTACTCATATCGTATCGTTTCGAAGAAACCTGTAGATCTAATTACATGTATGTGCCATTTTACCTTCTATAGGTTTTATGTTGTTAAAAGAGGCTCAAAGTTGCTAATGCTCAAAGTGATTGCACGACGAAGGCAAGAAAACAAGAGGTAGAGAGCGATATAGGTGGGAGGACAACATCAAGAAAAGGACAAACGCGAGTCTGCAGAGTAAGCATGACCAAGTCAAGAGATAAAAATTGTTAGAGATCCATTGCAGCAATCTTTCATTTTGGAGACAGCACCTGATTGATTGGGTGAAAGTGATTGTATGGTGAATTCTGTATAGACTTTTTGGTCTCTGTACTGGAATCACCAAAATTTGTTTTACATGGAATCCATGTCACGCAGGATTCGCTTGCTCATCTGTGCTTTGTGATGATTACTGAGAGGTGGTATTTCTAGAACCATCACCACAACACTTCCATAAGCGCCCCATCCCCATCTCCAGAGGCATGCGCATAGACAGCCAATCTGCTCATTTTTCAACACACCTACACGCAGCGGTAAAAATATCCAGACAATATTCGTCACCCGTGGCCTCCAAAGCGAATCACTCCAATCTTCACGAAGCGTGCTCGTCTTCGCCTTCCTTATCATGCAGAGTCAGTTAACAGTCAATCAAGCGGTTGAGTCGTATCATGCAGAGTCAGTTAACAGCCAATCAAGCGGTTGAGCCTTATCATGCAGAGTCAGTTAACAGCCAATCAAGTGGTTGAGCCTTATCATGCAGAGTCAGTTAACAGCCAATCAAGCGGTTGACCATGCAGAGTCAGTTAACAGCCAATCAAGCGGTTGAGCCTTATCATGCAGAGTCAGTTAACAGCCAATCAAGCGGTTGAGCCTTATCATGCAGAGTCAGTTAACAGTCAATCAAGCGCTTGAGCCTTACCATGCAGAGTCAGTTAACAGCCAATCAAGCGGTTGAGCCTTAGCATGCAGAGTCAGTTAACAGTCTCTCAAGCAGTTGAGCCTTAGCATGCAGAGACAGTTAACAGTCAATCAAGCGGTTGAGCCTTAGCATGCAGAGTCAGTTAACAGTCAATCCAGCGGTTGAGCCTTAACATGCAGAGTCATTTAACAGTCAATCAAGCTGTCGAACCTCAACATGCAGAGTCAGTTAACAGCCAATCAAGCGGTTTAGCCTTATCATGAATTAATTGCTAAATTACCATCTCCTGGGAATCGTTGAATTACAATGATATTTCAAACACAAGAGACAAACTAGTGGAATTACCTTGCATGTATTCACTTGGCTGGATGGACCTGCAGGGTAAACAAAAAGCGAAGTATAGTTCATTTTAAATATAAGTAAACATAACATAGCTAGAAGCGTCAGTAATAATGTCGGCAACATCATCATCGAGTGTCGTTTCGACTGTGTTGATCGATGATGCCTGTCCACTACAATCTGTCTCTAACATCATCAGGTGTCAGTGTGTGTGTGTGTGTGTGTGTGTGTGTGTTGACACAGCATCAGGTGTCAGTGTGTGTGTTAACACAGCATCAGGTGTCAGTGTGTGTGTTAACACAGCATCAGGTGTCAGTGTGTGTGTTAACACAGCATCTGGTGTCAGTGTGTGTTGCGTGTGTTGACACAGTATCTAGTGTCAGTGTGTGTATATTGACACAGCATCGTGTGTCAGTGTGTGTGTGTGTGTTAACACAGCATCAAGTGTCAGTGTGTGTGTGTGTGTGTGTGTATGTTGACACAGCATCATGTGTCAGTTATTGTATGTGTTAACACAGAATCAAGTGTCAGTGTGTGTGTGTGTGTGTTGACACAGCATCATGTGTCAGTGTGTGTGTTGACACAGTATCAGGTGTTAGTGTGTGTGTGTGTGTGTTGACACAGTATCAAGTGTCAGTGAGTGTGTGTGTGTGTGTGTGTGTGTGTTGACAAAGCATCGCGTGTCAGTGTGTGTTTTGACACAGTATCAGATGTCATTTTGTGTGTGTTGACACAACATCATGTGTCAGTGAGTGTGTGTTGATACAGCATTACAATTCAGTGTGTGTGTGTGTGTGATGACACAGCGTCAAGTGTCAGTGTGTGTTGACACAGCATCAAGTGTCAGTGTGCGTGTTGACACAACATCAAGAATCAGTGTGCGTGTTGACACATCAAGTATCAGTGTTCGTGTTGACACAACATCAAGTATCAGTGTGTGTGTTGACACAACATCAAGTATTAGTGTGTGTGTGTTGACACAACATCAGGTGGCAGTGTGTGAGTTGACACATCAGGTGGCAGTGTGTGTGTTGACACCACATCAGGTGTCAGTTTGTGTGTTGACACAACATCAGGTGTCAGTTTGCCTTGTGATACAACATCACGTATTAGTGTGCGTGTTGACACAACATCAGGTGTCAGTGTGTGTGTTGACACAACATCAGGTGTGGGTGTGTGTGTTGACACCAGTCCACGATATAGAACAATGGCTGCCAAATACCCTCTCTAGTCGATTTCCCTTTTTTTTAACAAATCTGTCACAGTATGTTCTACCTCTTCTTCGGCATTCCAGTATGGTTCAGTACTGCAGACATCAATCCCCCCCCCCCCGCCTTTTTTTCACCTCTCTGAGCGGACAGCTTGGTCTCGAAGCTTGGTGTCCGTCCTGAGTGTTAGAGGTTCCGGGTTCAATCCCCTGGTAGCGGCTGTTTTTTTTTTAACCTGATCTTGGACTTCCAGTAATTTCCCCTGGTCTCTGTTTAGTTAGATCGGACGCCCGTGTGCATTGTTTCGCACATAAAACATCCCATGGCAGTTGGAAATCGGAAAGAGTAGCCTAACGGCGCTGCCCGAGCAAAATTTTGAGTTACAAATCTACACAATTTTTTTTTCAGGATCCTCGTCTGTGCTACAGAGCCGGTGCACTGTGCTTAGCTTTTTCGGATACAGACTTGAGTTCGATGAAGAACGGAGCACTTGTGGGTTACTACCCATGTGCCATGATGTTTATCTCAAAAACCTCATAAGCCTCATCTCTCTGACTCTCTTTCCAGCTGGTCTGAATAATAACAGATTTCAGTTTCTCATAATGATGGCACATACTGACTGCCTATTTCTGATGTATGTTACATGTTGTCGGCTAACCTCTGTCACAACATCTGGAGTGCTCATTGTATCTGCGTGATGTTGATCACATCAGCCAATGAATGACTACTGGTTTATAAAATATAGGTAGTTTGTTAACGACTGTGGCTTAGGCTTGCGAACGCGATTCGTAATCCCGAGCTGTTGGGTTTGATTCCAGCGTGCAGGCGATTTGGCAACAGACCGCCTTTCGTTGGTTTTAATAGTGGTATCGCAAACCGACTATGCTGTGGCAATGGCAAACTACTGACCTTAAATCTGTATATGAAAACCATACAACTTGAGTTTGAGTTTATTCTGAAATATCCTGTTATAGTCGCGCAACTAACATGTTCTCTAAAATAGTATAATATGCCCAATATGCCCATATTCCATAGTTAATGGTAGGCATTTCTGTGTAAAAACACATCTTTTAGACATCACGGACCTGTCAGGTGAGTTTGCAGAAGTAAATAATACAATTCCCTTACAAGGAAAGTAAAATAAATCCTTTACGGGATTTGCAGATTATTGAACGCATCATGTTGTTGTGTGGGTGATTGTGTATGCCTGGGTGTGGACGTTTCGAGGCTAGAGTTACTTTGAGTTTAAAACACCACTTGTAACTTACTCGTTGTCCCTGTTTCTTTTGAGCCAGCATTTTTTTAGACCTGAAACAAACAGAGAAGTAAAGATCTGCGATTTTGTAGTTAGGAAAATGTGTATGATCACTATTTGTCCTCGTGGTCCGCATGGTTGTCAGTGTATGTCGTCTCTCGCGCGGAACTAGCAAGCAACAACTACGTCCCATGCCTTGCCATTTCGCTCGATTGATTAATTGATCGTTTGACTGACTAAAAGAACCATGCAGGAGCCGCACGTTTATACAGCAACCAGAACAGAATGGATGTTGTTAGCCTAACAACACTTAGAGACATACTCAGCCGGAGATCGGAGCACTTATGGTCGTGTCAGATGTGCGTTGAGTTGACCTTTTTGATGAACAATTGATTGATTTGACAGTTGTGTAATGTTGATGCTGTATCTTCTAAATACGTCAATGACTAAATGTTAATTACATACAGACTAGCAATTACTAAATATTTATGGATTCTAAATACAATTCATGTATAAACTAAATAAAGGGATATCGTCATGAGAGCAGTTCCAGGCAACCAGGGATCGTGATCTGTAGAGACGCATGAGCGCCTACGCCAGTTGGCAGCGCACACGATGATGATAATGATATAACCTAAAGCCGGCAATTACTAAATGTTCATTCCATAAATACACATTACAGCAGTTACGAAATGTTTCTGTATATTATATAAGCAAATGAGACAAGAGACCAAGCAAGAAAATGATTGATTAACAAAGCGCTGCTGGAATAACATCGGCAAGCACTCAGAATGAATAAGACAAGACTGCCTCATCAAGCCCTTATAGGGAAACCGGAAAGGAAAAGAAAACGGGGAACGCCAAGAGAGACTCTGCCTAGAACTATCATCAGAGAAGTTTCAACTATGGGCCTATTGAAAATCCGAGACCTAAATCAGGTGGCAACGAACCACCAGACATAGAGAGCTATGACCATAGCCCTACGCGCCGCCTTGGGCTCAAGAGGAAAGACTAACTAACTAACTAGCCTGTATATTAAATACAACACATAAATAAACTAATTGAGGCACTTATTAAATTGTCATTCCATATATACACAATAAAGTAGTTACCAAATGTTCATTACATATATACACAATACCTTTTCTCCTAACCACGACAATGACCGTCGCTGTTGCTACAGCAGCAAGTACCGCAGCGACAGCTCCCCCAGCCACACCGGCAACATTTACATCTGAAGTGGATTGGACACTCTGTGCTGTTTGACAGACACACAAATAAACTATTACTATTATTGTCAGTGTAAGAATCATCTTCAAAATTACTGACATTATCAATATTACTGACCCATCAACAGTATTGACATCATTAGCATTATTGACGTCATCAACAATACTGACGTCATTAACATTATTGACCTCATCAACATTATTGACATCATCAACATTATTGATTTAGTCAACATTATTGACATCATCAACATTATTGATATAGTCAACATTATTGACATCATCAACATAATTGATATAGTCAACATTATTGACATCATCAACATTATTGATATAGTCAACATTATTGACATCATCAACACTATTGATATAGTCAACATTATTGACATCATCAACATTATTGATATAGTCAACATTACTGACGTCGTCAACATTATTGACAGCATCCACATTATTGACAGCATCCACATTATTGACATTATCAACATTTTGATATCATCAACATTATTGACATTATCAACATTGTGATATCATCAACATTATTGACATTATCAACATTTTGATATCATCAACATTATCAACACCATCAACATTACTGATATAGTCAACATTAATGACATCATCAACATTACAAACACAATCAAAATTAATGATATTATTGACATCATTAACATTATTGACATCATCGACATTATTGACATCATCAACATCAGCAGCATCATTATCATAATCATCACTGTACACATCGTTATATTTATCGCCATCACAAATGTTATCATCATTAAAATTCTCAGCATAACGAATGTAATCATATGACATGCTGATCAGCGAATGTGGTCACTTTATGGCCCGTGAAAGAAGTCCCAGATGAGGTCTGTGTTGTCATGCTTGTCCCAGGTGTCAAAGCCTTCCAGTCATGCAACGTTTGTTTGAACCTTCTTCTTCTTCTTTCGTTCGCCTGAAATAAGTTGTCTATGTCAGCAGTTTTGTCTCGTATAAATTTCACTGTCGTTAGTTCATTCAGTGGTCCATACAGTTGACGTTCCACTGTTGTTCTTTCTGGCCAAAAGACTTGTGTCAAAATCGGTGCAGTCCTGGAGTTCATGCTCTGCTGTCTGGGGCGCATTTCCACAGGTGCACATGGCTGATACACCTATCTTGAATTTTGTGTACATGTGGTTACGTAATCGGTTGTGCCCTGTTCTGAGGCGGAGGATAATGACTTGTTCTGGTCATCCCTAATAAAATAGTCGTCTTGTGCTGGAGCTGGTGGTTTCCTGATCGATTTAATGATTCTTTTCTTTTGATGGTATGTGACTGGTACATCCGGCTGCTCTTTTGTCGCACCTTCCCCTGCCAGTTTAAACCTTGTTACCTAATCCTAATGTTTACCAGTTTTCGTCGGCCACGGTGTTTCACAGTGTTTCACAGTGTTTCACAGTGTTTCACGGTGTTTCACAGTGTTTCACAGTGTTTCCCAACCTTTTTTGGTACCATGACCCATCAAAATATTTTAACATCCCCCCCTCCCCCCCCCCCCACCAATCGCTTGTAACAAAAACATACTTGTTCACATTCAACAATTGATTGGCTCTCTCTGAATAAACAGCAAATGAACGGTTTTAGGTAGAAATCACTAAATAATTGTTGAAGAAACGTTAAATACAAGGTCCGACAATTAGGTAATGAGACTAATTCCATAAAAATATTAAAAAATTAACAGTTAAAGATGTCACCTGTATTTTATTTAAAGTAAGCCCCTTGTGCATTGATACAGCAAGTGGCACGATCTAACAAACTCTGGAAAAGACCTCTGTAGTGCTATGACCCTTAAAGTCGATGTTACGATGTTAAAAAGCGTCCTTTCAATCGAAACTTTAATTTTTTTTAATTGAATATAATCACAGGGAGAGAACTCTGGGAAATAGGGGGAAGACCGAGAATTCTTTTTTTGATAATATCTCTTGGGTACTCAACCCGCTGATGTTTTTTGGTCATCAAACAACGATTGTGGTACAAACCGGCAAGCAACTTTTTTCTTGCCAAAATCTTGCACTCAACTTTTAAAAATGGTCTCTCTATTAACACCAGATTTATCCGCCATCATCTTAACAGTAAAACAACAATCTTCTTGTATCCATTCTGTGACTTTTGCAATGAGATTTTCATTACGAACAGAAATTTGGCGTCCAGGTCTAGATGCATTAGTAATCATTTCCACACCGCTTTTGAATCGTAAAAAGAACCTGAAAATGTGTACACAAGATGAACAGTTATCCCCATAAACTTGTTAAATCAGTCAACTGTTTCAATGGCACTTTTTCTGGGTTTTTTTAAAAGAATTTAATGTTAGCTGTTTGCTCCGTGCCGATTAGGTAACAATGCACCTTTGACTAGGTCTACAAAATGGCGGCTTTTTTTCTGTCGGCTTATTAAGCGGCAATGAAAAGTTACCAGATCATAGATAAATGTTGTCTCTTTTGAATCCATGCTTTGCTTTATATATGGCATTTATGTTTTGACCATAATAAAATCAGTCTCATTTCTTTTTTGTAGGAGCTTGTATATTTTCAAGTAACACAGAATTTGGACGACACCATTTTCGAATCCCTAACCCTCCCTAACAAACGAACTGCTCCCCCTTCCCCCTACCTCCCCCCCCCCCCCCCCAAAAAAAAAACCCTTTCTCTTCCCTCGATTTCGCATGGGCCCTATATAGGGAAACACTGCTTTAGACATTACATTCGAAAAAAAAAATTGGGAAGCACTAAAAGTCATAATAGTTTAATAGAGGCTATGTTTCTGGAAGAAGAGTGAAGGGACAACCCACCTATCGGTGGGTGCAGGATATCAAGGACAACGTAGAGGTGAAATCTTGCGAGGCAGTGAAGATGGTAGCGGATATCATGACACACAAGAGGTGAATGCGAGAGAGGGAAGATGGTAGAGGATATGTAGACACCCTAGAGTTGGAAGATTGCGAGACAGGGAAGGCGTTACACAATATCATGACACCCTAAAGCTGAAAGATTGCGAGACAGAGAAGATGTTACACAATATCATGACACCCTAGAGTTGAAAGTTTGCGAGAGGCAGGGAAGGTGTTACACAATATCATGACACCCTAAAGCTGAAAGATTGCGAGACAGAGAAGATGTTACACAATATCATGACACCCTAAAGCTGAAAGATTGCGAGACAGAGAAGATGTTACACAACATCATGACACCCTAAAGCTGAAAGATTGCGAGACAGAGAAGATGTTAGACAATATCATGACACCCTAAAGCTGAAAGATTGCGAGACAGAGAAGATGTTACACAATATCATGACACCCTGAAGCTGAAAGATTGCGAGACAGGGAAGATGTTAGACAATATCATGACACTCTAAAGCTGAAAGATTGCGAGATAGAGAAGATGTTACACAATATCATGACAACCTAGAGCTGAAAGATTGCGAGACAGAGAAGATGTTAGACAATATCATGACACCCTAAAGCTGAACGTTTGCGAGACAGAGAAGATGTTACACAATATCATGACACCCTAGAGTTGAAAGATTGCGAGACAGAGAAGATGTTACACAATATCATGACACCCTAAAGCTGAAAGATTGCGAGACAGGGAAGATGTTAGACAATATCATGACACCCTAAAGCTGAAAGATTGCGAGACAGAGAAGATGTTACACAATATCATGACACCCTAGAGTTGAAAGTTTGCGAGAGGCAGGGAAGATGTTAGACAATATAATGACACCTTAGAGCTGAAAGATTGCGAGACAGCGAAGATGTTAGACAATATCATGACACCCTTGAGTTGAAAGATTGCGAGACAGAGAAGATGTTACACAACATCAAGACACCCTTGAGCTGAACGTTTGCGAGGCAGGGAAGATGTTAGACAATATCATGACACCCTAGAGCTGAAAGTTTGCGAGAGGCAGGGAAGATGTTAGACAATATAATGACACCCAAGAGCTGAAAGATTGCGAGACAGGGAAGATGGTAGAGGGTAGCAAGACACCCTAGAGGTGAAAGTTTGCGAGGCAGGGAAGATATTACACGATATCAAGATACTTCGGAGTTGGAAGTTTGCGAGGCAGGGCAGATGGTTGAGAATATAAAGACACCCTAGGCATCTTGAGACTGTTAATAGTAATTTTATAAGCATGTCTCCCTTTCCCCCTCCCCCGCCCCTTTATACCACCATCCCACCCATTTGTCGTTCCTCCCAAATACATACATGCGGCGGGCGTGCACACATACACACACACACACGCACACACACCCACATGCATGCACAATATAGCAACAACGACACTAACTTACAAGCAACAAGAAGCTTGTGTGTGACAACAACGGAAGTACCATCTCTAAGTTTTGCTTGGCAGCCCAATTCTGGAACAACATCCAAAAACATCAGTGACTTGTGTGTGAGAAGATTCAAGTATATTCAACATTCTCCAAGCACACATCACTAACGGTATCTAAAAACATGTCAAGCTTTCACGTCACCGTATGGAGTTTGGTAAGTTATTTCTTCATTTAAGCTCAACTTCAATCGCTTCTATTTCTGACATCATTGAAAATCGGCGCATTTTAGAAAGTCATTTAACGCTTTCACTGTCATCGTCCTCGTTGATGTCATCTACATCATCATCATCATCATACCTTGTGCGTTAGACAGGGCTCGCAATGAATTCCTCCATCCAGTTCTACCCTGTTTACTATTTACGATCACCAGAGAGCCTTGTCACATTAGCTTTATCCTAGAGAAGCCAGGTGTGCCGTTCTCAATCATGGTATGGTAAGTAGTACTACTGTCTTTAGTGTCTGCAAGAAGCCCTTTGAAAATAATGATTAACAATATAAAAATTCGCCATTATGGGCTATTAGCCGTCCTTAGAGGCAATTTTTCTAAAGTGTTTTATGTTTTGGAGTCAAGCTGTATATAAATTAAGTTATCAGATAGTCTTGTCGTTGCCCAAGAGTCCGAAAAAGTGCAGCAGGGAAAGATCGAGCCCTAGATTCATGAGCCAGGTCGGGGCCACCTTCTGAGAATGTCTTAGAAGTATTCGTATGAAACAATCGTTGAAGAGGGATCTGTCTACTGACGATCGGTGGACCCCTGCTGTACATGCTCTGACTGATTGCCTGACTTTCTACCCCACTAGGACATCACACAAGCGATAAACACCCGATGACACAAGGCGCCACCATGCGGATGAGGATCACCGTGGAGAGGTCCCAGAAACTGCGCTCAGACGATTGGCCATTTTTGTGGCCTGTCTATATTGCGGCCCCTGGCAAAAACCAGGGTAGGGCTTCAAATAACAACAATTTTCATCGTAAATGACATATGAATATAGTATGTACATGCTCCCATGTGGAGTTCTTATAATTAACTAGATTAATCTGCACTGACTAGACACTGGTGCCAGACACTGGCAAGGAATACCTGAATGGATGCTCTTTTCCTGGCTGCATGAAAATAAAGTGTTCTCATTTATCTTTCTGTCACCGTCTTTTCGCATCCTTTTTTTTTTTTTCACAATTTTTTTTTAAATCTATACTTCTGTCAACCTCTCTTTGTCAGTCATTCTATTTTTCTACCTTCTCTACCAGTTGAGCTCTAAATATCCGTTTTGTTTCTCTTCTTCCTTTTTTGTCTCTATGTCCCTCCCTTCCTACTTCATCTCCCTTTCTCAATCTTTCCTGTTTTTTCTCCTTTTTCTCTCTGTCTTCCCCTCTCAATGTCTTCCTTTTCCTCTCGCGCGCACTCTCTGTCTACCTCTCTCATACTCTAAACCTTTGTCTCTGTCCATCTTTCGCCCTCTTTACCAGCCAATATATTTTCCCTTTACCTCTCTCCTATTTGTTTCTCGTTTTCGCATTCTCTCTCTCTTTCTCTTTCTCTCTTTCTCTCTATCTAATCTATCTATCTATCTATCTATCTATCTATCTATCTATCTATCTATCTATCTATCTATCTATCTATCTATCTATCTATCTATCTATCTATCTATCTATCTATCTATCTATCTATCTATCTATCTATCTATCTATCTATCTATCTATCTATCTATCTATCTATCTATCTATCTATCTATCTATCTATCTATCTATCTATCTATCTATCTATCTATCTATCTATCTATCTATCTATCTATCTATCTATCTATCTATCTATCTATCTATCTATCTATCTATCTATCTATCTATCTATCTATCTATCTATCTATCTATCTATCTATCTATCTATCTATCTATCTATCTATCTATCTATCTATCTAATCTATCTATCTATCTATCTATCTAATCTATCTAACTATTTAATCTATCTATCTATCTATCTAATCTATCTATCTATCTATCTATCTATCTATCTATCTATCTATCTATCTATCTATCTATCTATCTATCTATCTATCTATCTATCTATCTATCTATCTATCTATCTATCTATCTATCTATCTATCTGTCTATCTATCTATCTATCTATCTATCTATCTATCTATCTATCTATCTATCTATCTATCTATCTATCTATCTATCTATCTATCTATCTATCTATCTATCTATCTATCTATCTATCTATCTATCTATCTATCTATCTATCTATCTATCTATCTATCTATCTATCTATCTATCTATCTATCTATCTATCTATCTATCTATCTATCTATCTATCTATCTATCTATCTATCTATCTATCTATCTATCTATCTATCTATCTATCTATCTATCTATCTATCTATCTATCTATCTATCTATCTATCTATCTATCTATCTATCTATCTATCTAATCTATCTATCTATCTATCTAATCTATCTATCTATCTATCTAATCTATCTATATCTATCTATCTATCTATCTATCTATCTATCTATCTATCTATCTCTATCTATCTATCTATCTATCTATCTATCTATCTATCTATCTATCTATCTATCTATCTATCTATCTATCTATCTATCTATCTATCTATCTATCTATCTATCTATCTATCTATCTATCTATCTATCTATCTATCTATCTATCTATCTATCTATCTATCTATCTATCTATCTATCTATCTATCTATCTATCTATCTATCTATCTATCTATCTATCTATCTATCTATCTTTGTTTTTCTCTTTCAACTGTCTTCTCTCATTCGTTACATATCCTTTGTTTATTTATTAGTAGGAACTGCATGTACAGACTGAAAGCACTTACCTGTTGTGGTCCTGTTGGCTGTAAAGGTTCCAGTGACGCTTCCAACGGCTCCATTCGTAACACTGGCTGACCCGTAGACCAGTGTTGTGTTTGCGGGGATGAAGACGTTGACAGTCTCCCGGCAGGTGCAGCTGAACTCGTTCCCTTCCACAACGTAGGTCTCTGGGCATGAGTCCAACTCTACACTAGGGTACGCTGTCAAGACAGTGTCATACCAACACATACTGTTTATGTTATGTTCCCATCCCACACAATATATAATGCGGACTATCGATTCGTTAGTAACTGTTTTGAGCCAGGGCACAGTAAAGATATTTGACAAAGCATATATCTTTACATAAGTTAACTTAGAAAGTTCAGTACTTTCACATCAGTGATGCATCGGACAGTTCTGCTTCTGCATTTGCTGAACCAACCGCCCTTTTCGGAACGTGAACACATGCAGAAGAAGAAATTTTCGTGGTTTATAGCTAGGGTGAGCTATCTGCGCCTTTTAACTTGTCTTGTGAAGCTCGCTATAATACTTTTCGCCCGGTTTTATATCTTTTCTTGATAACCTTAATTAGCTAGGTTTAACAGCACGCTTAAGGAAAAGTGGGTCACATTAAAAAAGACCCGAGAACACACACGACGGCTGTGGGCATATGACAACTATTGAATAGACCCAGGGCCATTCGTCTGGTGGCCCCGTGAGTGCGCCCAAGGACCATAGACGAGGGTACCGTATTATACATCTTTCTATGCTGGACCTGGGTCCCCTCCGGCCTCTGATCCCATTGTCGGAATTTTGGTCCCGGAGTTAACTGAGTTGATTAGCCCTGCTATAGACCGATCAGCACTCAGCTGGCGATATAGTCAACTTCACGCAAGCCGCCTTTACTTTCCATTCCCCTGTGCTTGCAGTAATTAATGGTATAATATGTCTGAGAGCCGAGATCAATTACTTCAACAAAACACAAACAAAACAGGAAACCGACTAGTGTGTATTTAAACGCAGGATCTGTTGCACGGTGCTTCACTCAATAGTCTTCCTTGCTTCCTCCACTACCGTCTGGGGTGTCGGTAAAGTTCAAGGATTATGGTCCCTATGCTGTTGGCCACCTCGACCTTAGAAGCCTATTACTGGTTGAGTTTATTTGATATCTTCCCACTGTGTCCCTGATACAACTGGCACACTACGTTGTCTTCATCATTGGTCTATAGAATGTGTGCTGGCAGATAAAGGCAGAAAAGACTATAGATAGGCTAAGAACTGAACTCTGAGAAGAGGCACACTAAAAGCATGCTATGGCAACAATTGTTCTGAGATGTTTGCTCTAACTGTTAAAGACTTATCTTACAACAAGCCTTGGGCTGAGTTTCACATGCCTCACTATAGTTCAGTATAAAACTATCGTATAGACAGACGGAACTGTGCCAACAAACAGTTGCACTGAGAGTGTAGTTAGTGGGATACTTCCCGTTCACTTACCTACTGACTGAGGATATGTTAAATCGCTGTTGACTCCATAGATCGAGTCACTATCCCGACCTGTCACGTTTGGGTACACAAAGACACCGAACTGGTGGGATCCTTTAGACAACTTCAGGGCTGGCAGGTTCAAGCGACATTGCACGTTAAAGTAGGCAGGGTCTGCAGCGTCAGTGATGTTCTCATAACTAATCTGTTCAGGTGTTATTTGATTCGCTGTCCCCTGAAATTTTCAGAAATGCTTGAATTACGTTTACCATGAGGTTAAAGAGATTACACACGGTCCGACGTAGCTTAAAATGCCAAAGGCAAAGTTTAACACAATGCCTCCCTTTTAGGCTAAAGTCGAAGAAAACTTTAAAAAAAAAAAAAAAAAAGGAAAATCCACACCAGATCACAACGATGTTCTGTACGACTGATAAGAAACGCAGTCCGAAAGCCTTCCAAAGGCTACGCTGACTGCAAAGGCTAGCATGAAGCCGTTGGTACATGTGTAATGAGTAGCAGAAGGCCAGAGGAGTCTACATTCTCACTGAGCGAGACTCCTGATCCATCCCAGTTCAGTTCGGTCTCTCTTTTGAACGCTAAGGGCCAGGTATTCTTCTCTGTTATTGCACGCAGACTCACAAATTACTTGTTGTTACATCCATTCATCGGTCCAGAAAGGTGGTATACCGAGCGCCCCCCGATACCTTGAGCACGCCTCCGTGGTCTTGGATAATATCTAGAAAGCGAAGGCAATGCTGCATATGACCTGTTTGGACCTTGCTAAGGAAAATGGGTGGTCTCCCCACCAGCTATTTTGAAAGGTCCATCAAATATTTCATGTTCTACCATAGAGCATTTAGATGTCCGAGCTGTATTTTTTAGAATTACCTGTAAGCTTCTATACTTCAGCTCATTACGAGATGGACGGGCTCCAGGTGGGGAGAGCAATGTGGGAGTACGATTTCTCCGATGCTGTTGGTCAAAGCTATCAAAGCTATCAGATATGAAGGAAGTCCAGCGAATATATGAGTCCGTGGCAGATCATGATCCCTGGTTACCTGAAGCAGCTATCATGATGATATCTCTCCATGCCATAGTTTCAGCCCATCTAGCATCGTCTTTCTTGGTCTGCCTCTACCTCTTTTTCCACTGATCTCTCCAGTTGACACGATGTTCTCAATGTCTGCTCGCTATTGGCCAGAGCAGGCTGATCGGTAAATTCAAGTTCTGGTGCCTCCAATGAATGTTGATTCCTTAGCTCCTCTGATGATGTCTTATGATACAGAGCAGGCACAGGCGCAGAATAATCTATGGAACGGAATATCAACATAGCCAAGCGGAAATGGCTCAGAGCCCTAGCCAGTCTCAGTTGTGTGGATCTGTAATGTAAAATGTACAAGGCAGATGCAACTATTTGACTGTCACCGAGGTGTTCAAAGTCAACAAGCCTGACTCGCAATGATGTTGTGGAAGTAGAAGGTGACAGTATAATTGATTCTGCAAAAAAGCCAGTGACACTGAAGGAAGTCATGGGATACACACAAACCAACTAGGATGGCTTCGGCCAAGGAAATGTCCTATGGTGGACCAAGGCCTCGACTAAAGAGCACAGAGACATGGTAATGCAGTGAAGGCAAAGCTCTTTTCTACCTGTATGGACTTTGCCAACGCATATAAGTCAGTAGCCCATCAGCTAATATAAAAGGTCACTTCATAGACATATACCCCAGCAGACATGCATGTCATCTCTAAGATTGTCATCACACTGGTGGAGCAGGGAGGGGGGGGGCGGGTTCCTGACACAGAGGTAAGACACTGATAGATCAGCATTCACGCCCAGAATACATCATCAGCTATACAAATGGATCTGTGAAGCACGGATCAAGGTCAGCATGGGCATACACAGCAAAAAGGATGTAGAAAGCAATACCGTAGGTCAGCGGGGCTTACCAGGCAACTATGTCAAGCATGACCACCGACATGGCCGCTGCTTCTAGAGCACTAGCATGGGCAGCAAAGAGGCCATACATCATCATCATCATGTGCCCCTGCCAACTAGGCGCTCATGCGTCTCCACAGATTACGATCCCTGGTTGCCTGGAACAGCTCTCTTGATGATAACCCTCCATGCCATCGTTTCAACCCATCCAGCACCATCTGTCTTGGCCTGCATCTACCTGTTTTTCCAAGGATCATTCCAATTGTCACGATGTTCTCCAACGTCTCTCTTCTCATTATGTAGCCAAGGAACAGTGTTTGTCTCTTTCTTACTGTTGTATATTGAGATCTACTTGCATTAGCTTCTTTCAAGCAATCGTTGTTAGTTACTCTGGCCGTCCAAGGTATTCGTAACATTCGTCTTAGAAACCACATCTCGGTAGGCCATACATGCAGTAATTATATTAGACTCAATGACCATGCTGTAGAAAATAGTTTTTTGACAGTTTGCGTCTGAATGGGTAAAAAAAGCATTCCAAAATCGCATTTAACGTGCCTCACCTGGGTCTATACACCTGGTCATGATGGTGTAAGGGGTAATGAGCGAGCGGACCAAACTGGTAAGCAATGCACCAAAGCATTTCGTAACAAGCATGCACTGAGCAGATATCAACGCTGTACGGACTGGGCTAGTGGATAGTGGCGAGTCTCTGACAACAACACGGTTGCCTGACATCAGAGTAAAGCGTAGCAAAGCAGGTCTATGCCACATCGAGGCAGAGAAAGGAAACGCTACCAAATAGCTCTCATTGGAGCAATTTGTAGAAGTACCTTGGAGTGGCCGTTATATCGGAGGACTAAAGACACATGTGAATGCCCAGTGTACAGCGACGTCGATTGTGGTATCATAACGTAACAAGTGACATGGTAATGTAACAGATCAGGAAATGAGCTGCCAGTCCAAAAAGCAGCCCAACCGTAACAGCCAATGAGTGGGGCTAGAGATTGGTATGCCAAGGGAATTCTCCTAGAACGATGACAGACGTATGATTTTGCTGCGACTAAGCTTTCCTATCAGATCTGCCTACTACGTGTGACTCTATTACGCTAACACGGTCAAATGGGGCGAAACTATAAACAGCTGCTATTGACATGTAAGAGAGTCGTAGATCAAGGGCCAGTCACATGAAGGAACAAGACATTTTCACGAAGTTGGCCGACATTGTGGACCAAACTATAACGAGGCCCAGTGAAAAGTCTTGATCTGTAGACTCCTGCTGTTGATCTGTAGACGCCTGCTGTTGATCTGTAGACTCCTATTGTGCACGATCCGAACTTGCAGTTTCCTTCTTTGCATCTGTCTTGATAAAGTGGCAGTTTCAACTTTAAATATTAACCATGCAGTAAACAATCAGATTCGTCCTTCTTCTGTGGTTCACTGATGGCAGTAAATTAATATCAATTAGTCAGCGTCATAATTTTTTCAAGTATGTTTTAGTGTGCGTGTAGGTGGGTTTGTGTGTGTCTGTGTGTAGTGTGTGTGTGCGTGGGTAGGTGTGTGGGTAGGTGTGTGGGTGTATCTTTAAAAATATGTTCCTCTCAGTGATCACTGGCATAGAGCCTGCAGACAGTGAAAAACCATACACCATTACGCATCAGCATTTGATCAAAAATCATACAAGCTTAGCACACACAAAAAATATAAAAAAAAAAAAAAAAAAAAAAATAACTAATAAATAAATAAGCTACGGGGGACAGAAATTAGGTTTTTGAGATGAATGCAAAGAATATTAGGAAATTATAGAACAACAAAGCAGTTCCTTCTGATACAGGTAAAAGTCATAAATTCATTAGAACAATTATACGAAGCCTTTTTTTATGCCACCCCTCCCTCCCCTTTCCACACGTTTTAAGACATGGAATTAATCCGAGAGCTTGGTGACACCTGAAAAAAGAGAGGAAGAGGAAATCAAAGAGTTAAGTCCTAGCTGACTGAGCTACATGAATAGGGCGAGATTTGAAGGGGGGGGGGGGGGAAACACGGGACTGATCTGTGATTCTGGTCTTCGTGTGAGATAATGATATGTGCAAGCCTATGCTCACCGCACGGCACACGATAGTAATGATGCCATTCAACTCGTCACAGCCAAGTGCAAAGAGGGTCAGGAAGAAGCGGATTAAGACTAATGTGTCCATGACCTTTAACAAGTTGTCTGTTGTTTGCATTCAGGGCTTCTGTAATATTTAAATAATACGAGAAATATTTAAGAAACCATGCGTGTCAATTTGTTTAAGTCAGAGATGGTGGCGCTATGTTGGACTCATCATAGTTAGAAACGACGAGGGAATCACCAAACATGCTCTATAGTGGGAAAGAAAGGGATAAAGGAGGCGAGAACGCCCATAAAAAAACCCAAACAAGAACGGTGATGAGAGAGGCCAAGGGTACTGAACTAAATTCCATCCATGATATTGCACAGGATAGAAAGAACGGAGGAATGAACTCCCAGTCCTAGGTGAGATATGATGGCACAATAAGACAACAATGATTACATGAAGACAAAATAAATATGTATACGACTGAAACAAACACACATAATTTAATTTACATTTGTGGTCCACACGAACTGGCATATAGGGTTGGGGTAGATCCGTTTCACTGCACACACAACTGTGACAGTGTCACATTTTAACTCTGCTTGTTGACAGGACACAGATGTTGGTCTTGCTGGGGAAGACAGTACAGCGGGTGGCACAACATTATATATATTCCTGCTTCTTTTAAAGTATCTGTAAATCAAAAGATACTGTAGTATTGGTGTGATATTCACTCTCTTTAACATCTCTAGTAGTTTCCTCTTTACACACAGACGGACCAAAATACTGGAAGGCTGATCCCAATTAATTAAATATAAGGTACCGTTGTCTTGTGTCTACAAATCGTCCTCCATGAATCATAATTAACTGTGTAATTTACCTTAAAGCTACATTTAGAACATTTGCTAGCACTGAAACATTTTAGTATACTAATCTGTAGACGTTTCTTTGTAGCATATAACAGATAACAGTCACCTTTTTTTCTTTGAAGACCAGCAACAAATCTTCATGTTACCAAACATGAAACTGTCTCACAAATAATTATACAACCCTGCTTTATCTTCGGTGCAAACGTCCTCCATATCGCATGTTTTAGCAAGCATTATGTTTGCACATTTATATAACCTTGACATTATAGTATGTGTATAACCATTTTTCCCCTATCATACAGTGATTATGTAATGAAATATATCATTGATA